ATCCTGAAACTGAGCAGGGCTATCAAATTCCTCATTTGGGAGACATATTACAGAACCATTACATTAACTTTACTGGCACTCACATTATACTGTTGATTCATATTGCATTTATCATCAAATGAAAACTGCCCTTTTATGGCCTCTCCTTCATCTCACACTTGTATCATTGATTTTTCTATACCTAAGCACAGGACTGTGCCATTTTTTGGTAAAAGATGATTCACATTGCAGCCAGTTGGGACTGACTTGGATTCTGATTCAATCTATCAATTTCACAAACCCCTCAGAGTTGAGTCACTCAACTATTTTATCAGCATGCCATCAGCACTTTAAAGCTGTTAAAACTGTGAAAAGTTGGGGTAGGACTACATGGCAAATCAGTACAGACCTCTCTTCAGCCTGTTCTTGATTGTCCCAGTAGTAAAGCAGTTCTGATGTCACCTAATAGGACTGCCACCAGTCAATCCTCATCTTGCCCACAAAATGCAGAGGTATGGCACAGATATTAGGGAGGTGGGCTCTGAAGCTATACTGCCTGGGTTCAAATTTCAGCTCTGCCATTTACTAGCTGGACTCTGCCCATTTTACATAAGGGCCTTAAGCATCCATGGATTTCAGTATCCGTGAGGGTCCTGGAACAAATCTTCCACGGATACCGAGGGATGACAGTAATTTATTTGATGGTAGGCTTTACCCAGGTTTCAATTCCAATCTGAAGATCACAAAAGTGACAGCGATTTCCACAAGTCCTGGTGAATTCATTTTACTACTTAAGTTTTTCAGGGAAAGAAGTGGAATACTTTATTTCAGGATTTGATCCACAACGTCAGGGTAAGTCTGAACTTCATTTACATATATCTCCTTCCCTAAACCCTAAGACAATTCATGTTAATTACTTAAGCATGCCCCTTCCACATAACACTGATTCACAGCATGTCACAACTGGATTCCAGAGACGCCCTATTTTACAGACATGAATAGGGTAGAGAAATTTAGCGTCTCACCCAAGTACAGGGCCCAACAGCCACAGTCAGGATAATTCTTCATTAGGTCTAATAGTATAGTATTCCAAAGTAAACCATTTATTTTTTTCTTTTTAAAAACTGTTACCATATTTAGTTTTTCATATGGCTTTCCGTCAGGAATTCAAATTGCGAAGTCTCTGCTTTTGCAAAACTCTCCACGTATCTAACTCCCTAAAGGACATATTAAAGTAAATTCTTATGATCGTCCCTAAGACCGCCAGAACACAATTTTAGATGACTTCTTGGGATTGTTACTCATAGTCCCAGAATTCAAGAGCTCTAGTATGGCAATGTTATCTACCTTGAGCCCCTGGCGTAAACTTTTGGGGAAGGAAGCCACAGCAACTCTAAAATAGAAACTCCTGGAGTGATACGTGTGATACTCCACCTTAACAGCTCGGCATGATAATGGAGAGAGAAGAGAAATGCAGCTAAGAATGGCAACCAGAAAGAAATACTAACCGGAGACTGCTGGCTGCTTACTGCATTTTAAAGCCAGTTAGGTGCTGGGAAGGACTGAGGAGGGGCCCGGAGGCAGGCGGCACCAGGTTCGAGCCGCCGGGATAAGGAATAGGCGGACCGGGTAGCCAGTACGCACGCGCGACCCCGGCCTTTGTACTCGGGCCGCGGCCTTAAAGACCTTAAAGACCCCCTACGTACGTGCGTGCGTGCGTGCGTGCGTGCGTCCGCGGCAGGCCCCGCCGCGAGGGGCGCGGGGGGAGGGGCGGCGCCCCGCCCCGGCCTTACCTGCCCGTGTTTTCCGTTTCCATTCCCTGCTGGCGGGCGCGGCTGCTCCTGCCAGGGAAGCGAGCGACTGGCCTCTGCAATACAGCGGCGCACCCACGGCGGTACGATAATAACCAGTCACTTGGACACGACTGCTGGCAGAACTGGGACAGCGGATGGCCCTCAAGCTCCTCCCCCAAGCTTCTAGGTCCCCCTACTCCTACTCCCCATACCAGTCCCACCCTCGGCGCCCCACTTCCGTCTACTCTGAGCCAAATCCCACGCCTTGCGGGCGTCACTGTCGTCACGTGACACAGGGCAGTCCAATCACGTTCGCGCTTCCCTCGTTGGTTCTTCTGCCGGCCACTTGGCCTTTCGGGAAGGGTGGAGGACAAAAAGGCTGGGAGGGGGAGTGCTTCGCTGACGTAAGCTTTTGTGGGCTCCGTCTTCTCGGTGGTGTGTGTGTGTAGGCGGGCGTGCGTGCGTGTGTGTGTGTGTGTGTGTGTGTGTCTGTATGTCTGTCTGATGTCCTCTGTGGTCGCTGTGTAGGTAGGCGGTTATGCTTCCCAGAACTATCCCGGCCTTTCCACCCAACGTTTTATTCTGACTAGAAACAGCAATTTGCATTAATTATCAAGTAATTACTGGGGTGTAGGGGAGAGAAGAGACTTCGGAATAAAAAAACATGGGGGTCCTGGGCACTGTATCATACTGGGCCACAGTTTCCTAATCTGTAAAATGAGAGTGATTGTAAAATGGCTTTTTACATAAACTGTTCTTTGCTTTACTTTGGTTATGTAAAAATACCAAAGTTTGAAGTCTATGATAGTAGATGGCATTCAGGCATATGGTTTTTTCAAAAATCCGTATGATTACCTCAATAGTACGGATTAAGGATTCCATGAAATCCAACATCCATTTCTGATAAAAACTTTAAGCAATCTAGGAACAGAAGGGAACTTCCTCAGCTTGATAGATGATGTCTATAAAAAAGTTACTGTATTTATTCAGTTTACTTTATGGTTTAATGTAGAGAATCTTATGAAACCTACAAAAAATGTACTAGAATAAGTGAGTTTAGCAAAGTTGCAAGATAAAAAATCAATTGTATTCTATATATACTACCAACAAATCAGAAAAAACACCATTCACAATAGCATCAAAAAATATGAAATACTTAGGGATAAACTTGGTATTTCCTGAAAACTACAAAAGATTACTAAGATATATTAAGAACTAAATAAGTAGAGAGATAAATGCGCCAGAATATTGTCAAGATGTCTGTAGATTGAATATTATGGCAATCAAAATCCCAGTAGACTTTTTGTAGAAATTGACAAGATGATTCTAAAAGTCATATGGAAATGCAAAGATCTAGAATAGCCAAAACAACTCTTTAAAAAGAAGTAATAGTATGCTATCACTTATATGTGGAACCTAAAAAATAGAGCTAGTGAATATAACAAAAGAAAAAAGAAAAAAAAATTGGAGGACCAACACTACCTGATTATAAGGCTACAGTAATTAAAACAATGTAGTATTGGCATTTTGATAGATAAAAATATATCAATGGAAAATAATAAAGTCTAGAAATAGATACATAACATATATAGACAATCAGCAGATTTCCACAAAGGTACAAAGGCAATTCAGTGGAGAAAGCATAATTTTTTCAACAAAAGCGTAATTTTTTTGAACAGTTGGATAGCCAGATGCAAACAAAACAAAACTTGGACTCACACCTCACACCATACAAAAAGTTTAGCTCAAAATGGATCACAAACTTCACCGTAAGACCTATATCTATAAAACTTCTAGAAGAAAAACCAAGAGAATCTGTGACCCTGGGTTAGATTTCTCAGGTATAACACCAAAGCATGACTCACAAAAGAGAAAAATGAAAACTGGACTTCATTAAAATTAAAAACTTCTGCTCTTCAAAAGATTTTTAAGAAAAAGAAGTTATAGACCAGGAGAAAATATTTGTAGATCAAATCTATCTGATAAAGGACTTGTATCCATACCCATAATATGTAAAGAAAATTCGAAACACAATTAAAAAAACAATTAAAAATGTGCAAAGGAATTGAGTAGATACTTTACCAAAGAAAATATAAACACAATTCTCAACATGATTAGTCATGATATGCCATCCACCTGTTAGGATGGCTAAAATTAAAAAGACTGATCAAAGTGTTAAGATGTGGAGAAACTAGAACTCTAATACTGCTGGTGGGAATGTACAGTTGTACAACTAGTTTGGAAAACAGTTTGGCAATTTATTTAAAAGTTTGATATATACCTACCATATGCTACAGCCATTCTACTCCTAGGAATGTACCCAAATGAAATGGAAGCATGTATTCATTGACCTGTATACACGTCTTTCTGCTTCTTTTCACTGTTCATAGTAGTTGTATTTGCATTAGCCAAAAACTGGAAACAATCAAAATGTCCACCAAAGGTGAGTGGATAAGCCAGCTGTGGTATAAGCATACTCAGCAATACAAAAGTGAACTACTGATACATAGAACAATGTGCACAAATCTCAAAATAATTGTGCTGCATGAAATAAGTCAGACCAAAAGTAGTACATACTGTATGACTCAATCTCTTTAACATCCTGGAAAATGCGAAGTAATCTGTAGTGACAGAAAACGATCAAAGGTTGCTTAGGGAATGAGGCTGTGTGGGAGGAATTAAAAAGGGGCGCAAAGAAACTTAAGGGTGAGGAGTTCATAATCTTGATTGTAATGGTTTCACAGGTGTAAGATATGTCAAACTTCATCCAACTGTATACTTAAAATACGTGCAGTTTACTGAATGTCAAATGTACCTCCAGAAAACTGTTTAAAAATGTGAATGTACCATGATACACGTTATACATACAAGATTAATTCTTCAAAACTGTCCTGCATTAACCTTTGGCTAAACAAAAGCAATCCATATTCAAAGCACAATCTTAAAAACGCATAGATTAAATAATGTCGATTTCATTCTTCTTTTCCAGTAGCACCATAGCACAAGGTCATAGCTGTCTGGGTGTGGCTCTGTTTCAGGTTATTAAAGGACGCGCTGGGCACTACGACCAAGAGTGTTTTTAAACTCCACAGTGCCCTCACCTAAGCACCAGCGGGTCGGCTCAGTGTGCCAGTCTCCACCCGCTCCTAAAAGGCGGTAAACGTGAGTAACTTCCTTTACGCGTGCGAAAGGACAAACAATGGAAGAATCCAGCTAGAGCCGGCCCGAGACTCAACATCTGCCAGGAAAATCCAACTAGAGGGAGCGTGATAAAGGTGCAGAAAGCCTGGGGCCGGGAAAGTTCTGGGAATTGGTTCAAAAAGAAAAAAAGAAAGAAAAGACTCCGGCTCTGGATCAAAGCCCCACTTCCCCGGGTCACGTGTCCGCGCCGCAGTGACACCCCATTTCCGGTCCGACGCGGACAGCATCCCCTGCACTTCCGGTCCGTCCGGTCGGCTGCCGGCTCGGTTTCCCGAGCGCCCTTCGTCCTCTGACCCGCTGCCCAGCGCCGGTACAGCTTGCAGTACAGTGTTCCCCGGGGCGCGCCTCTAGGCCAGGCAGTGCGGTCTGCAGTCCCCTTCCTCCCAGAGTTGACGAGGTGCGGGAACCCGTCCGGTGCGCCCTTCCTCTCGCTCCGCTGGAGCTGTCTTTAAACTCCGAAGGCCGAGCCCGCACACTAAGAACCCAACGAAGGCTGGTCTTCCGCCTCCAAAGGGCGTTCGTGCGCGCGGCGCCCTCGTTTCGCAAAAGAGGACCCAGGTGTTCTGACTCCGCCCCTGCGCTGCTTAGGGGCTTGTTTCCCCGCACAGCTTAGCCCGGACCTGGGCACCTTCTAACACCGCCCGCTTTCTCTCCCAGTCCAGCCTGCCGACCATGCCTGCGGGCGTGTCCTGGACCTCGTACCTGAAAATGTTCGCCGCCAGCCTCCTGGCCATGTGCGCCGGCGCCCAAGCGGTGCACAGGTACTATCAGCCGGACCTGGTGAGTGCAGGAGGGTCCTCGTGCCTCAACTCCTGGACCACTCCATTCTCACAGAAGCCAAAGTACTCTTAAAATTAGGAGCACGTCTCCCCGGGTTCTAAAGCCTTGGGATGGCATCCAACTGCATTTAGAGGAATGCATGCCCTGCTCTTACACAGTGTTACACGTTCTTAAGGTTTTACACGGTCTACCTCCTACTGAATTTTATCTTCCACCTTTCCCCCTTTGTTCATCTCTGTTGCAACCTGCTTCCTTGATGTTTCGCAATCTCATCAAGCCTGTCCCCACCTTAAGGTCATGCTTCTCTTCTTGGAATGCTTTTCTCTCAGATCTTGGCTTGACTTTTTCTTCAAAATTTCAAGTGTCTGCTCAAATGTCTCCTCCAGCAGTGAGGGTCCTTTGGACAGCTCCTAAAGGATTCCTCCTCTGCTGTTCTGTCCTAGTCCTTGCTTTCCCTTGGAACTTGTCACAATTTGCAATTATTTTATTCATTTGTCTTTTTACTTGTTCTTTTGTTTCCTCCACTAGAATGTAACCTCCAGGAAGGGACTTTCCCCGAGTGGTTCGCTCTTGT